GTCAGCACGCACGCGCAACAACAGCCTGGATCAGGACAAGCAGCAACAGCAGCAGAAGCAGCCACAGCGTCAGATGCTGTCACAGCTGAACCAAGCTCTGATGCAACAGCTGTCACACAGGCAGCAGCAGCAGCAGCAGCAGCAGCAGCAGCAGCAGCAGCAGCAGGCGCCACTGATGCCGCAGGACAGCGGCCTGGGCATCTTGGACGTTGGGGCCATGGCTGGCGTTGCGTTTGCCGATACGAAGCATGGCGCTGTTGTTGTTGGTGCTGCGCGTGAACCAGGATTCGCGAGCCCGAAGCAGAGCCGCCAGACACACCGCCCGCTGTCGTTCAGCGCGCTGGCAGCCAAGCTGACCGCTGAGGCAAACCCGAAGCAGCGCCGCAACAGCCGCGATGAGGACAACGATGGCGACGACGATGATGATGATGATGACGATGAAGATGAAGGGGGTGAATGGGATGGCAGCGAGTGACGACGATGGCAGCTGTCACGACCGCCACGGTGCGTTGAATTGGTCAACTTGGTCAACTTTCATTCCGTCCTGTGTGGTGGGATGCTGGGATGTGCGTTTGCGTGCGTTTGCATGCATGCATGCATGCATTGATACATGGGAGTTGTGTGTGTTTTGTGAGGTGGAGAGCTTAGCTCACGTGTGCTGCCGCAGTGTGCAATTGCTTTCCTTTGCTACACCGCACCATTTAGCGTCGCCGCGATTGAAAAGACTTAAGATGTGACGTGAGGACGTGGGCTATCGTGGCAAAAGGAGCCACGCACCAACCCCCCTCCTGCCCTCTCCAGAGAGCGATGGCTTTGTGTTTTGTGTGTGTGTGTGTGTGTGTGTGTGTGTGTGTGTGTGTGTGTGTGTGTGTGTGTGTGTGTGTGTTCGTGCGTTTGCTTGGTTCTGTCTAGGATACGAGCGAGTTGTTTTGTTTGTGCGCTTTATCTATGCTTTCTCCACACTCCCTCCCCTTTCCCAACCAACTTCCTTTGTGCGTCATGCAAGGTCAACAACAGGTTGTCCTGCGTCCGTGCCCAACAACGTCACCGCCACCGCCGCTACCACTGCTGCTCTTGGTGGTGGCGGTGCAAAGTGGGGTGTTGTGCGCATGCGTTGGACAGCGCCAGAAAAGATGTGTGATTGTGCTGATTGTTGTGTCTGTGCCCGAAACAATAAAAATCACCAACATAACAATATGTCACAACATCACCATTTAGTCTGTGTAACATTCTCGTTACACGTACTCACTCCCAGTCACGCTCACACACATTCGCACACACATGCTGCGGCTTCAAAACGAGAGGCGTGTATTCGTCACAAAAGGAACAAGTGGGCACTGCTGGGGAATAGCGGAAGTGTGGTGTGGGGGCACGTTTGCCGTGATGGTGATAGTGATGGTGATGGTGATGGTGATGGTGATGATGATTGGAGGAAAAGAAACCACAAAGAACACCAAGGTCGATGAGCAAGACGACGCGAAACGACGGCAGCTGGGAACAACGGAAGGCCGCGCCCACCACGGAGAGCAGAGTGCTTGCGCACGACGAAACTTCTAACGTGAAGAAGAGGAGAAAGACAATGGAAGACGACGATGATGGAGAGAGGGAGGCCAAGCGCGAGGTTACGAAGGAGAGGAAGAGGTGTGACGGAGGCCGGACGCGAGAACGTACGCGTCGCGAAGCACACACACACACACACATTCATTCACTCACGTACGGTGGAGGAAGAGACAGACATGGTGTGACCAAGACTTGAGACAAGGGTGGGTATGATGAAGAGGGAAGAACTCAGAGCAAAAGTGGAGTGTGGGCCAGCGTTGATGCTGGGACAGGTGGTGATGCAACCAGCACGGCAACTCTCGAGACGCAAGTGCGAATTGCAACACCAAGCGCGAAGCCACTTTGAACAAAGTCAGCACACATCCTGCCACGAGGCTGCGGTTGTATGGAAAAGGGTGGAGGGGTGGAGAGCACAGCGGGGGTGGATCACAGGGCCTGGTAGCTCTGAGGGCGGCCGGTGACCTTTCCAATGACAAAGCGGAACCCGTCCGAGATGAGGCCGGGCAGCGACGCCCAGAACTCGTAGTTGGGCACAACCTCAACGCCAGACGCATTCTGCACAGCACGGTGGTGTGCGAATGTGAGGGTGAGTTGTGTTGTGCGTGCGTGTGTGTGTGTGCATGTGTGTGTGTGTGTGTGTGTGTGTGTGTGTGTGTGTGTGTGTGTGTGTGTGTGTGTGTGTGTTTGTGCAGGTGTCATATACGGGACGTACCCGGACGTATTTCATGTACACGGCACCCAGGACGAAGTAAGGGAAAATGATGCCGACGAAGAAGCTGTGAAACATATGTGAGCGTGTTGGAGGTGTCGCATGCCGTGTGAGATGGGGGCAGTGAAATGCGGAGTGGGCAGGACAGCATCGATTGTCGAGCAATGACATGCACACACGACACACACACACACACACACACACACACACAGAGAGAGACACACACACGCACGCACATGATGACGATGACGTCGCCTGCGCCGAGCTTCTTCTTCGAGTGGCCAGAGGGCGGGGATGGCGGAGATGGCGGGGATGGCGGAGATGGCGGGGATGGTGGCGGTGTTGGGCCCGGTGGGCCTGGTGGCGGTGGCGATGGTGGTGATGGACCAGGGGGAGCAGGCGGCGATGGGCCGGGTGGTGATGGCGGGGATGGCGGTGCCTTGCATGCGCCGTTGCAGTTGGGGTCACTCCAGGGACCCTGGGGATCTTCAACGCAGAGACCGCCTGCTTTGAACAGACAAGTCATCGTATCGTTGTGACAGGAGAAGGACGCAGGATGTGGTGAAGGCACGGCGTTAGTGGTTGCGTTGGCGATCGGAAACGTTATCGGGAACACAATGGAAGGATTGGTTTGAGCAAAGGAGGGCAGAGGCGAGGAGACGCGGGATGGGCAAGGCAGATACAAGAGCTGGCAGGGTATGTGCATAGACCTGAGCAAGAGTAAAACTTCTGGCCGGATGTGCACTGGAAGCTGAACTGGCTCAAACGTGAGAGGCCACCGCACTCCTGCGTGCTGTCGTCCCTGCATGTCTTGTCACACTCGGC